ATATAGTTTCGAGAAAAAATGTTCATCATTGCTAAACACAAGGAATTCAGGAAGTGAGTAAGCATAATGGAGTCGTACCTAAGTTGGGTCAAGTAAACATAATGGGGTCGTAACTAAATGGGATAGTGGGAGTATTTCGGCCAAGAACCAAATTAATTGAACGTGGGACGCCATATTCTCGAGATACTCTCGCCTCCGGTGAGCACCATTAAAAAGCGAATGCAGTTAAACCTTTAAAGAGAGTATTGATGGCAAGAGATAATGATCTGCCGAGTTGCCATTGGAGCGCAGAATTAATTCTTTTGGAGGAGTAGAGAACGTCTTTGCGAAATCGGCCCTTATATACTGTTCGTAGAGAACTCAAGAATGGATCTTGAGTAAAATATTCTCAAGATTATAAATAGAGAGCCTATAGTAATTTTGGGTATTTCGAAGATTGTCGGAGCACTGCAAACTCAGTGGACACCTCATTTGCCTAAACCTATCATTTGCAGACTTTGTGGGGAAAATTAGGAGATACAAGTTCACATCCTGCAAGAGCGTGTTGCTCGCTTTCGCTGTGGAGGGGTATTACTGATAAACTATACACCAACAGTGGCAGAACTTCACTTATCCGAGTTTCTAGTAATTATTCTAGTAGTTATTGTAATTCGATTATACCTGTTAAAGCTAATTTCAAATGTTCAAATCACAAAAAAAAATTTTCCCAGTTTCGCTTTCATGATTTTCTTTAAAATTTCTACTAAAATTCAAATCAATTTTGACCCAAATACTACTTTAATTTCAAAAACCACTGAATGACATAATCCTTCAGATATAATATAATTGTATAACAGTTGTATAACAGTTTATAATCACAAATAATACGTTATAATATATATAATATGTAATTCCCATATGGTATATGATTACTGTATCAATTTTCATAATTATACAAACAGAAATTATTAATTTGACACAAAGTTTATTTTAGAAGGTATCTTAATTTTTTTACTTAAATAATTCATCCATTGCGGTTATTCTTTTTATATACAAAAGCGTATTCATAATAGGTATAAGAGAATTCCCCAAAATTCAAATTAATTGAAAACAAAAATAAGTATAACAACAAATATAACAACAACAATAATAATAACCTAAACGACTTTTAAACAATATTTTGTTTTCCCTTTCAATTAATTTAACGTTAATTCATTTAATTATTGTAATAATAGGTTTATGAATGAATTCGTAAAAAAAAAAATTTGACAAACTAAATTTTTTTCTTTTCATATTTTTTAAAAATAAAATAAAAAGTAAAGTAGTCTTGTTAACAAATCGAAATCAAAGTTAAACTAAACAATTAAAGGATTCTTAATGCATTCTTAAACTAGAAATAAAGTCAGGTTATCGCGTAGGAAGAAAATTATGTTGTTGCTCACCCTTAAATATGTAGCATTTAAAGCTTTGCAGGATAGAAGTAGTTTCTGGCCTTACGACGTTCGCACTCCCTTACAAACTGCTATCAGTTGGAACAAAGAAAATTATTTAAAATATAAACTTTCACGATTTTGAGAAGTTATAACTCGGTAGGAAGAGGGCACACTTATTCTGGACATTCATATTTCATTCAATTCAAGTAAATCATACCATGAGTTTTCATCCCCGTTGTGCATTAAAACAATATTAAATAGATACTAGTACGGAATACTACTATAATAGCGCCATCTATAGTATCGTATTACAAACCAAATAATAATTTCATAATATTTTCAAAATTTATGCATTATAGGGGGCCCAATTACATATTTCAAATACAAATATAATAAAAATCCAAATTAAAAATAAAAATTTTAATAACAATTTGTCAAGGTCATTAACATTTTCTCGCATTTTATACACAACAATTACCGTACATATGAAATTATTAAAAAAAAAAATGATAACAATAACAGATACAATAAAAAAACAAGAGACAAATATCTTCTATATAACAATAAAAATATGTAAATCAGTTAAGCCTGACCCCCTTTCACATGCAAATTATTGTCTCCTACAATTTCTCAATATGTATTTTAGTATTTAAGCAAGCTTGTTTATTAATTGTATATGAGCACACGCATTCATTTGTTTGTCAATGAAAAGAGTTGTAGAGGTAAAGTGAAATTGGAGTTCACTCTTTTGTCATTTTGAATTTGTTTTTTTTTTTTGTAATACTACGATATTTTCTATACAATTTTTCTATTTATTGAATGTAATTAAAAAAATTATTAAACATTTTCTTATTATTTGAAAATTATAGATTTTATAGTAGAAAATTATATACCATAGAGTTGAATCCGGGATAACAAAAGATTGATGACAGTTTCTCGTTAGATTCACTGAATATTAAAATCCCCATCGAATAAAAACAAAAATTATTTATTTTTTTTTATTGTTTCTCCCTTTCTAATATTATGGAGTGGATATACGGAAACGTTTTATTCATATGTGAATTTTTAATTGGGTTAATGAGCTGTAAATCTATATATGTACATTATATACCTATACATTTTAAATAAAAAATTTGAATAGATATAGTTAACAATATGAGTACTACACATAGCTTTATTAAATCATAGTTATTATTGGAATGTTGAAATAGATTTGAAATGATTGTATATAGAAATTTTCAAATTTATGTCAAATTATCAGATATAATTATATTATTATAAAGATTATTATTTAATTTTAATCAACACGCTTTTATGTATAGATGTAATCATGACATTTATACAATTATATATTTCATTTTCCGAAGTCTTTGTGAAAATTTATTATTCATTTAAATTATTATGTACAAGTACAGCATAATGTTGTAAATAAATTATAAAATTTGATTGTTACGAAAGAGAAAGACCAACCATTGTGATACGGCTGGATGCTCTATCTTCAGTTTAACTCACAAAATTATGCGAACTTAGCCCAGGTTTTCCCAGATACGGTTAATGTCCCTCTACAATATAAGATTAAAATCTATATATCCTGCAAAAAAAAATCACCCGCAAGAAAGGAAAGCTCCGAAAGGACGCAAGTCATAACACGAAATACGGCAGTAGATATTAATGAAGCGAGTATTCCAATATCTCAGCGTATTCGACAATGTCCGGCTATATTTGTTTCTATTTCTGCATTAATATTCTTATTTCTCCATTTGTAGTTGAAAAGACAATCAAATTAGAAGAATTTATATTTTTTCGTTTTCCTGCACGTTTTTTTGCTCACAAATCAGTGATTGATTTGTTCATTTGCCATTGTATTCCAACAGGATTGGAAATTAAAGAATCCAAGGCAGAGCATTAGAATTCTATAGTAACATTCTAAAATTTATGAGCACATTTTAATAAGTATTTGATAAAATTTTAAGAACAATAATTTTCATTCATCACAAGAAATTGTTCAATAAATTTTAAATTATATATGAGAATTCACTGAATTTTTATAACACGTGCACAAAATAAGTCACATATAATTTATAGTATTTTATTTGAATTAAATATATTAACATTTTTGCTTTTTTTTTTTATTTAAATCGTAATGTGAGATTTTAAATTGATTAGTGATCCGAATCAATAATTTTTATTTTCATAATTCTTGTACGTAATTGAACTAACAATAACACTCCTTCATAAATAGCTTAATGTAAAAGCAACTGAACTTAATTTCTTAACATACTCATTCCACTTTAAAATTAAATAAATAATATTTAATTTCATTATAGTGTAATTTTTCTTTATAAAAATTATATAAAGCTCTTTTAACTACTAGTAGCTACTCAAGTATAAATTATTATAGTTTTCACAAGAAATTAAGTCACATCCAATGCATAAGTTTAAGACATTTCTTTCATTTAATGTTCTAACTCAAGTTCTAAAATTAAAATATAAATTTTATAATTACACACTTGAATTTATTGAAATTATGAGCAATTGCACTGCGATCTATCGTAATGTTATTATTCTGGTGTATATTCTGCAATAAAAGACTTATTCATAATGCAAAATTAATTTATTGCAATATTAATTTATTTACTTGTATACACTATTGTTATTGGCGATATCATGTGTTTAATGGAACAAATGAATTAAATGCATTATCATAAAGAAGTGTAGAGAATTTAAGAAAAATATCCGCTCTTTTGAAATTATGTTCCCCTAAATATATGCAATTGGTTAGATTTTGAAAATATAAAACTCTTAAAAAATTAGTACAAAATCTTGATTCGCCATATTAAAATTAGAACAAATACCTTTAAATTTGAGCAGTCAAAAGTAGGTTCAGTTTTTAAAATTCGTATAGATTTACAGACATTGACAATAAATGTCACCCCTCTTAAATGTTCTACACAAAACAATAGCAAATATAGTTCTTTATGGTAAAGTTCAACTCATTACCATAACAATCTATATCACAAACGAATAGTACCACAGTAATAGTTATTGGACTATCCAGCGTTGTGAAGTAATTAAGAGTAATCATTGATTAGTTAAATAATCTTAATTCAAAAAAAAAGTCTTAATGTATTCTCAAGACATTACTAACTCGCATCTTATCACAGTATATCACTCGCATATTATAATGGGGATAAAATCATAGGGGTCGAAGTATGAATACCTCTATGTTATAAAACAGGATTAACAAATTTTTTTTTTCGGAATTTTCTTTGAAACAAATAAATTATATAAATAACTACAACATATTAATAAACATATATTTCCTTACAATCATAACCTTCAATGAGTCAAGCTGTACGTGTATATAAAATTTTATAAATCATTGCGATTTTTGATGACTGAAATATTTAAATTAAAATGACAATGGCATACTTTATCGCATTATTCAACGCAAAGTATTACAAGCCCAAAAAAAAATTAATGGGAAAATAATTTTAAATCACATAATTCAATATTATTAAGTGGTTAATTAATAGTACAAACAATTCAAAAAAAAAAAAAAACTAAAAAAACAAATGCTGTACATACCCAAAAGAATAAATTATGGTGTCACACTCTCAATAAAATTTAATTTAATTATATTGAAATTATTATTATCCTTACCGAATCGAAATTAGAAATTTCGAAAAAAAAAATTGATATTCTAGTATTAAAAAAAAAATTAAATATTCACTTTTTATTTATTTTTCTTCTTTTTTCGGAGTTCTAAAAATATTCGGACAAAATTTCAAATTTCGGACAAAAATATATCACAAAGTATATTTATACGAATTTTTCATTTAATTTCGAATAACACATACTTTCTTACATAATTTTATTTCGAATTTATTTTCTTTTAATTAAAGTTCACTTTGAAAAAAAAAACTAAGTAAAATGTTAAACAAAATAAATATTCCGAAATTCGATATTACTAAAAAAAAAAATTCGGAATTAAAAAAGTTTTTTTTTACTCACTTTTTTAAATAACTTTCGATTTTATTTTTTTTTTTTTTAAAATATAAAATTGGAAAATATTCTAAAACTCGATATTACATTACATGATTATCGTTCGGAGCTCAAAAATCTAATGAAATTTTGAAATAAGAATTTTTGCAAAGAACAAAATTTTTGTTTTTTTATTTTTCTTCTTTTTTTATTTTAATTTTCCAATTTGACTTCTTTCTATCTTAAATCAACTTTTAAGAGTGAAGTAATATAATTTTTTTACAAAATATACTTTACTATTGAATTTAATTAAAGACAAAAAAAAAAAAGAAAACAAAAAAAAATTGACATAAAGTATAACAAGAAAAATCAAAACAAAAAGCAAAATAGAATAAAGTTGCGTGCGAAATACTTATGCCCGAATTGTCTATTTAATTTTATTTATATATGTACATATGCACATAATATATATTATATACCAGTATAACGGGATATATGTGTATATATACTTTTAGAATACACTTTATCATTATTAGTATTATTGTACCGTTATTTCAATATCTCTACATTCTATATTCGATATTGTTTACATTTTGTACATACCACTGTTATAATTACTATCAAAAGGCTCATTACTTTTAAACCTTTTATTTACATATACACAATAACATATACATAGTATATATATACAAATATTAACAATATTTTATGTATATATACATTGTATATTATATATAATAATAAACACGTGAAAATTTCCATAAAATCGAATTAAATTTATAAATAAATAGCCATGTATATATAAGCGCGAATTTCTAAATTACATTATTGCAATATACATACATATATACATACAAATAATAGATATCATATATATGTACTTATTTTTTAAGCTTTTCTTACAAGAACAACAAAAATACTAAAAAAAAAATAACAAAATAAAAAATTAAATTTTCATTAAACTTTTACTTATAAATGAGTACCGCTTTTTTTATAGTGCGACCGTCGTACATACATGATATTTTGTCGCGTAAATCGTTTAAAATTAAAATCAAAAACAATAATAATAACAATAAGAAGAATAAAAAATGAAAATATATTAGAAAAGCAGGTCATATAAGCGAAAAAATTAAATTTATAATCATTTTTCTATTTCTTCTTATTTAATTTAATCAAATTTTTGGATTAAAATTAAACAAAAAAAAAAAGGCGAATTACCAGCCATACATAGTTTTATTATACACCAACAGTATATACATAATATATCAAATTCTATATAATTTATAAATAATTTGTATAAGTATATATGTATGTTATGTAAATTTATATATGATATTAATTATGGACAAAAAAAACTTTTAACTGTTATATAATTACATAGAATTTTAACAACATTATTCACAATATTACTATACGTTACATATGTTTAGTATATACTTTTATTATATTATTAAGTATTATTTACACATTATGAATATAAAAATTCATATATGTATGTACATACTCGTACACAGTACACATGTGTATGATTATAATAATTATATACTTATAATAAATTTAATTTACTAAAAAAATCAAATCTAATATAAAAATTTATAATAAATTCTTAAAATATAATTCTTAAATAGAAAAATTCTCTATTTATACTATAGTATTAAAATGTATATGATATCAAGACGAGATCAAATTTAAAACTAAAATTTTAAGTATACAATAATCTAAAAATATTTGTTGAATGCCGTAAATATTGAAAAGAACTTATATAAAATAAAATAACTCATATTATGTATTATTATTGTATACATCATATATGTGCATGTGTGTATAGAGTATCAATTTAATTTAAGAAAAAAAAAATTTTTTTTTTTTTTAAATAACCTATATATTATGTAAATTATACCCTAAATTTAAGTTCTATACTCAAATTTAAATAAAATTTTATAAGGTACGTAAATTTTACATATTTCTTTAACAATAAAACCTATAAAATTATAACAATAAAAATAATATAGGAATCAGTGTTGGGTCAATGTTTCAATATTGTAACCCTGAATTGAAAAGAAATTTTATTTTCATTTGTTATTGCTTTGTTGTTGTTTTTTTTCTTTTTATAAATTTTCTTTTATTACCTTTTTTCTTTTTTTACAATTTATTATTATTAAATTCAATTAATAGAGAATAACAATATTCATACTGTCTTTTTCTCTCCCTCATAATTGTCCTCTGATTTTTCTCTTCTTATTACTATTTTTTATTTTTTGTTCTAATTTTTATTATTATTATGATACGAGTATTTGCTGTTCTTACTATCGCTTTTCTCTCTGTTTATTTGGTGATTTTTCTTTCTCTTCTTTTTATTGTTATTATTTTTTTTCCTGGTTGAATGGTGATGATCGTATATTCTCAAATATAATTTCATTTTAAAAAAGATTTGTTGAAATGTTGGAATCATAATGTATCAAAAAAAAAAAAAGAAAAATAAAACTAAAACGAAAAAAAATATACATATATTAAATTAAATTTATTGTAAAAAGTAAAAATATATGTACATATATGTATATATATAATATGAAATTACGTTTGCAATATATTATATTTTAAATTTATATATGAATCCAGTGCTCTCCTTTAAGTTTTGTGTGGAAAAGTTGTTACAGGTTTTGATTGGGATCATATGTAGAATAAAGTTTGAGGATCATATGTAGAATAAAATGTAAAGGCAGAATGACATATGGTGGTAGAAAGTCGGGCGACTACAGCGCTTTGCGTGCATTGGTATAATGGGTTCTTTAAAGAGATATCCAACGGCCTCGACGAAAGGCTCTCTTAGACATGGCTTCATGAAGAGGCTATAATGGAGTATTGCGAATAAAGTAACAATAGGGGTCGAAAGCCTGGTGACCTTAGAAGTCACAATGTATTGTGAGGAGAACAGCAGCAGTCAGGAAAACATAGTAAGGCTTCACAAAAACACTCTCCATCGAAATCATTATCCATTATCAGAAGACCTCTCGGACACTATCCATAAATATTTTATGGGGAATCCTTATTAAGGCAACGATGCAGAACCTTTATTATGTCAGCCAATAGACCCGTTCTTGAGGCCCTTGTAACGGGATCCAAATTGCTGAGGGAATGCGTTGATGCACTTAACATTCTAACAAGGATGTTAGGGTGTTGATAGGTATAACAAGGTAACTTTGATGTGTTTGCTGGGGCATTACGGCATAGACATAGGCCAAAGTGAGAAAACTGATGTGACAAGGACAATGATCCTGAATGGTTAGCAGAAAAAAACCATTCTCGATCCACTGAGGAATTGCCGCAAATGTCTCACTCAAAAAAATTTGTGCCTCTCTTGAAACTGATGGAGCGAATACTACCCACCCTCAAAAATTTTTCAATGATTCGAAAATTTCATAAGAGTTACGTTAAAGCTCAATTAATTTAATATCAGTAAAAAATATTTCACTATTTCTTTATCCAATTTAATTTCATACAATAGATTTTTTGTTAATTGAAATATTTTAAACTCATGACACACTGGATTAGCATATTATTTAAAAGTTTCTATTTAATATTAGAATGATTAGAACACCAATTCATTTTAATTATGAGAAACGATTCTCTTTTGATTAAATTTTATTTCGTTTTTAATTTTTCCTTGCCATATACTGTTAAATAATTTTGTTCGGTTTTTTCTACACGTACGTATATTATATAGCTCTACATACACGCAATATATTATATAGGTCCGAGCACTTATATACATGTGTCCACATTTTATAGATAAATTTTTTGGAAATTTATAATGCAATTATCTCATTTTACTCCTATTGCTTTAAATACATATATACGTTTATACATATACATATGTACAAGTAATGATATAATATGAGAATGTAGGTGAAAAATGAATAATAATAAGAACAAAAACAGAAAAAGTAACAAAATGAAATTTTAAATAGTAAACAATGATGATTCATTCATGTGTGAAGTTTTTATTACTATATTTTGTTTTATTTTTTTTATTTTTTTTGGCAGTATATCGTGTAGAAAATTTCATGAATATTTGAATGTTATATGAGTTTCTTGCATATTAAATATAAATTTAAGATTAATTTTCTTTATGTGTTATACTATTGTTACTGTCATCACATTCCTTTACAGTTAATATTGTTAATAAGAACCTGCAATTGAACAATTAATTTAAAATAGAATCTCAATATAAAAATAATTTCGATTACTAAAAGAAATACTATAAATTTAATAACAACTCAAAAATTTCAGACAAAGTCAATTTTCTGTAGGAGGTATGGGATATTATCCTCATTTTTCATAAATTTAAACCATAATTGTATATAAGTTTCAAGTATTATAAATTTAATAGAGAAAAATATACGTCATCATTACATTATACATAATTTTATTCTCATATACGCTTACCCACATATTGTAAGTATTATCTATATAGAAATTAAGTTATAAGTATATACATATATGTATAATAATCACAACCTAAAAATAACATAATATCGTTAGTACAATATTACATGGATTGTTAGTTTGTATATACAATATGCTTTGAGTAAATTAGGAAAACCTATAATTTGTTAAGGTTTTTGGCTTCTGTTTTTTTTTTTATATATGAAGTTTGTAATTGTTTAAAAGGTTGGAAATACGCTTTAACTTTATTACTACACTAAATAATATTATAATGTATGTATATATACAAAATTTTAATTAAAGGAAATAAATTTTGGAAATGTTTGCTATATAACATTTTAAGGGAATTATTTTATTTCTATTATTTTAAATGAAAAATTAAAGGTAGGGCTTACTTACCATAAAAAATTTGTATATAAATTTCAATAAATTTTATGGATGAATAAATTTTAAAATAATAATTATTAATTAT